AAAAAAAAAAAAAGAGAGATGGGGGTCTCGCTGTGTTTCCCAGATTGCTCTTGAACACCTGTCCTCAAGCGATCCTCCCTCCTCGGCCTCCCAAAGTGCTGGGATTACAGGTGTGGGCCACCGCACCCGGCCATCAAATGCACTTTCTGAACACTCCTCCTCTTATTCCTTCCCAAGGAGTGTCTGGCTGCTTATCTGTAAAATAGGGATGCAAATGACTGTCTCACAGTTGTGCTGAAGATTGAACAGTTCATAAATGGAAAAAACACCCCGCACCAAGGAAGATCTGTAAGAGCGTTCAAGGCCGGGCTCGGTGGCTCAGCCTGTCATCCCAGCACTTTGGGAGGCCAAGGTGAGTGGATTGCCTGAGCCCGCAGATTCAAGACCAGCCCGGACAACTTGGCAAGACCTCGTCTCTACAGTACATCAAAAATTAGCCGGGCGTGGTAGCGCGCACCTGTAGTTCCAGCTACTTGGAAGGCTGAAGTGGAAGGATCACCTTGAGGGTGCCACTGCACTACAGCCTGGGCAAGGGAGTGAGACTCCAACTCAAAAAAAAAAAAAAGTGATTGTGTCTGGCCTGTCTCCGCTTGTTCTCTCTGAAATAGCCCGCGTGCATCTCGCCGCTGGAAGACACCGTCACTGGGTCAAGGAGCACAGTGATGGAGAGGGCAGGCAGAACCCCCTTCCCCCAGCCCACTCTGGGTTTCTAATATCCTCTCACCCGCTGGTAATTCGATTCTGAAGAGGCTGGCCCCAGCAGGCCGGCATGAGTCACAAGATCTGCCGCCTCCCAGGCCCTCCTGGGAATTGTGTTTTTTCCTGTCGCCCCAAAGCCACAGGAAGCGTCAGTACCACCCCTCACCCCTCACCCAGAAGTGGTACTCTTATTTCAGATCATTGAAGATAAATATAAAGCAAGCCCAGGTCTACTCTGGGGTGTCCGTGAGCGGCCAATACTCTCCAGCCTGGGCGACAGAGTGAGACTCCAACGCACAAAAAAATAAAAACTAAGGCAAGCACAGCTGGGTTGCATTTCAGGAGGCACCGGTGTGCTTTGTGCTGGACTCACGCTACCGTAGAACTAGAAGTCACCGATACTAGACACTGCTGATACTAGGTGGGTGGGTGGCCCCAAGGGAAGAGAGGGTGATTGGAAAAGAATAATGTTTATAAAATAATAATAAAATAGTAATGTTTCGTATTTTAGGAAATAACTCTTGTTTTTGAACTGCAGACTACACAAAGGTTTGAACAAATCTCAGTTGAAGAGTGTACGTTTAAAAAAATTGAGAAACACTTTATAAAATGAGTGTCCTTAACCACATTGCTGGCTGGACGTCATGACTCACACCTGCAATCCCAGTGCTTTTGGAGGCTGAGGGAGGAGGATCACTTGAGCCCAGGAGTTCCAGGCCACATTGAGGTGTGATCCCACCGCCACTACACTACAGCCTGTGTGACAGTGTGAGACCCTGTCTCTAAAAACAAAATAAGACCAGCTTAGAGCCGGGCTCGGTGGCTCAGCCTGTAATCCCACGCCTTGGGAGGCTGAGGTGAGTGGATTGCCTGAGCCCGCGGGTTCGAGACCCGCCTGGGCAACTTGGCGAGACCTCATCTCTACAATACATAAAAAAAAATTAGCCAGGTGTGGTAGTGCGTACCTGTAGTTCCAGCAACTTGGAAGGCTGAGGCAGAAGGATTGCCGGAGCCCTAGCAGGTCGAGGCTGCGGTGGCCGGGAGCGGCCACTGCACTCCAGTCTGGGCAACAGAGTGAGACTCCAACTAAAAAAAAAAAAAAAAAAGACTAGCTTAGGCAATATAGTCAGACCTCTTCCCTAGAAAAACATTTTAAAACCACACAACTGATAGAAGAGGAAAGTCAATCAAGCCTCTCCGTTGTTCCCAATCTAAATAAATCTAACAGGATGCACTTAATCAAAGTATAATACATGTAGGAAGGTGAACTCTAAAGTATTTATTTGGGTTAAAATATTTTGAAAACGGAGAGGAAAGTAATGCCTCCAAGTTAGTACCACTGGAAATTACCCTCTATGCCCACAAAAAAAAACCTGACACACTCAGATGCACACTTGTATTTAGTTCCTTGCCCCCTCAAGACCTAGGTCAGGGGCTTTATATGCACCCTGTTGGTTCTTCTCTGTTTCTTTTCTTCTTGGTAGTTGGGGTTAACTTCCTGTTGTTTGGGTTTTTTTAGTTGGAGTCTCACTCTGTGGCCCAGGCTGGAGTGCAGTGGCACGCTCACAGCCACCTCAGCCTCAACCTGCTAGGCTCAGGTGATCCTTCTGCCTCAACCTTCCAAGTACCTGGAACTACAGTCATGCACCATCACGCTTGGCTAATTTTTCTTGATTTATTGTAGAGACGAGATCTCACCAAATTGCCCAGACTGGTCTCGAACCCCTGGACTCAGGCAATCCTCTCACCTTGGCCTCCCAAAGTGCTGGGATTACAGGCTTGAACCACCGCACCCAGCCAAAGGCACCATGCCCAACCTACTTCCTGCTTTTTGAATGTGTTGTCCCTGCTTTTCCTACATCTAGAAAAACCATCTTCTGGCTCTTAGAACCTATCAACAGATCATCAAACCTCCCCTGAATAAAGAGTACAGAGCAAGGGTCATGTTTCATGGCTAAACATTAGAGAATTATTATTATTATTTTGATTCAGAGTCTCGCTCTGTTGCCCAGGCTGGAGTGCAGTGTCACGCTCACAGCCACTACAGCCTTGACCCGCTGGGCTCAGGCAATCGTTCCACCTCAGCCTTCCAAGAAGCTGGAACTAGAGACACACTCCAGCTAATTTTTTGTGATTTACTGTAGAGATGAGGTCTCACCAAGTTGCCCAGGTTAGTGGTCTCAAACCCCTGGCTCAGGCAATCCTCTCGCCTCAGCCTCTCAAAGTGGTGGGATTACAGGCTGAGCCACCATACCTGGCCGAGTATTATTTTGATTACAAACAAAAATACTTTTTT